CCCCCCCCCCCCCCCCCCCCGCATGTCCCTCTGGGTGCAGCATGAAGCGAGCCAGCTCTCTGGGGGTTCTTAACGTGGTGGACAAGGCTGCGACCGACCAAGTAAGACGTCCAAAAGTAAAACTGTGATTCTGTTAAAGGACAAACATCTCCTTAAAGATTGAGCTCACAGTCACACTGTTGTGATCTCCATTAAAGGTTTTATTGAGCTTCATTCAAGACTATAAAATCTATTAATTGGATGGATTAATGTCTTCCGTACACGGAATAACTTTATTAATTAGGACAAAGATTTATCAAATTATCAGGTTCTTTTCTGAAACAATCAGAAAACATCTACAGGATGTTTATAACCACATTTATATTTATTTCATTCTAATTTATCAGGAAAAAAATACAAAATAACTTATTCCAGCTTCCGAGTTATGAAAAATTATTGTAAATTTTATATCTTTAAGTTTTTATGCTGTCGGTCAAAGAAAAATAATCAACTTGAAGACGACGACTTTAAATCTGAGAGATTGTGAGCGGTGTTAAGTATTTTCTGACTAAATAACCATTTACTAAAATATACAATCAACTGATTGTTTGATAATCCAAATTATTTGTGGCCCTAACCAGGTTATTCTACCTCTGAATACATGAAGATTATATACACTTTAAAGTGTGCTGATAAAGTACAACACTTACAGAGTTTTTCTTCAAGTTTTGAAACTAAAGTTTGATTATCATATCAACAGACGTCTGAGTGTTCAACACATTAAAGACTGAAGTCACAGCAGATCAGAAAGAAACAACAAAACTATAACATTCATTTACTAATACATCCCCAAATGCTCTTGATAGGACTCAAAAATAAACATTTAAATAACAATACTTCAAAGTTGAAGGTGGTCAGTTCACTGAGAGTGTTGAAACAAACCACGGAAGAACTTTTACTCTCCTCTCAGTCGCGCCCGTGTCTTCATGTCTTAAAGGTTCTTTGTCATATTCATCACTGATAACACAACGCGAGTGAGACTCACACACTAACTTCTCACATCGTTATTTTTGACTAATCAACACAAACTATTAACACACAGAATGGTTTTCTTTTTTTTCTTATTTGACACATTGAGAAATGTTCGTTCAGATAAAGTCACATTCAACGTTTAAGTATTTAAGACTAAACTTTGATCACAGAGCTACCGAACAATACATGTTTTCATATCATATCCAGTGGTGGGAAGTACATTTACTCAAGTACTGTCTTTACAATTTAGAAATACTTTAACGATACTTCAGTATTTCCATTTATTTCCTGCTTTCTACTTCTAGTTCACAGACAAATATTGTAGTTTTTTTCATTGTTTATCTTTAGTTACTTTAATGAGATCAATGAGATGTAGAATAATCAACAAATAGAAATATGATGCATTAATATATGCTAAGATAAAACTTATAGCAGCATATAAAGTTATTAACATGAGCTCCACCTTCGCCAGTAAACATTAACATTAAAGTGATGAACACATTAATGCATCGATGAGTGTAATCCAATAATATAAAATACGTAAATAAGTACTTTTTCTTTTAGTACTTTTAAGTTTATTTTGATGTTCATACTTTCTTCTTTTACTTTTGTGTGTATTTGTACACTGTGGTATTACTACTATTAGTACTTCTTCCACCACTGGTCATATCCGTCACTGTTTAAAATGTTACAAGTCTTAATCTCAGAAAACCTGTTTATCACCATTTTAACAAATTCATAAAGTCATGTTGGTCGAGCTGAAACTATCTCTTAAAAAGTTCACGTCTTAATTTAATATCTGTTTTCTTTTCTTCTTCTTTTTTTCCTCCAGGAACGAAATAATCGTCTGAGTAAAAGTCGCGACCTGAGTGCCAGTCACACCGACCTGGCGCGTTGAAGGTCGATTCGACCCTGGAGGAGTTTAGGGGCGGAGCCTGAGAGGTCACTTCCTGTCCAGACCCTCCTGATTCAGCATCACACCACCAAGTGCTCACTGTACAGGTTCCTATATGTCTCTGCACTTTTTGGGAAAGTTTGTGGTGTTTTGTTTCCTCGAGACACAACAAGAGGAGCATACAGAGAGCTGTGTGTGTGTGTGTGTGTGTGTGTGTGTGTGTGTGTGTGTACTGTATGTACTGTTACATGTGTGCTGGTGGGAGTGATCTCAAATCCGTCCTTTTTTTATATTCAATGCTGGCGCTTGAATGCAGAGTGGAGCTCTTTGTACAAACATTTCTCTCTCAGCTCGTTGGTCCAGTTAGAAAGTCGGTGAAGACGAAGATGAGCTCGGCTGTTTGAGTTGAGTAAACTCTTCATCTCGATAATCTAGTGCTCCGTTTTAATCACATTACGGTAATTAATGGAAACATTTGCAACTTCTTGTACAGATTTTGTAGAAATCCGGTTAAAATTTATGTGACATTTGGACGTAAACACGACTGTATGTTCGTCGATAATAGAGTCGAAAAGTCGCGGCTTTACTCCTCTTCTTCGTGTTTATAATTGAAGAGCACTCTGTCTTCTTTTTGGTTAACAGACCTTAAATGATGTTTTCCACTACGAGATAAATATACATCACTATGTAGTTCACGTGTACTTATTTAAATTTTGGCCCCGGAGAAAAAGTTATTAAATTTGAAATCAAAGCAAAGTTTTAAAAGAGTTAAATTGACCGACACTGAAGTCTTTAATGAATGAATGATTTATTGATACTTTTACAAACTCACACTTCGGCTTCACCCTCTGAAGTTTAACTGAAGCAACGAGAGACTAAAGCTGCAGAGACTCTGCAGACAACCCGTCCAGCGATGACGTCTCTTTGGAGGCCGACCCGGACGTTAGCTTAGCTTAGCGCTCAATCTGCAGATTTCCAATGGAGGTTCTGAACTGGGTTTTTACATTAATTAAGAAAATAAGATCTGTAACAAAGAAATATTTACACGAGAAGACAAACAGAATATTTGAAATAGCTTATTTTCTGCATTAATTAAGACAACGGAGGGAAGTTACATCTCTTCCCTAAAATGTTCCGTCCTGTGTTCATTTAGCTTTTTCTGAATGAATTTCTATGTTTACATTTGTGTTGTTTTTTTTGTAAACGATGTTTTATTAGTTTCTGTCCTCGCACTGCTCTGAAGAGTTTATCTTAATATCTTCCTGAATATCAGCGCTGTCTTCTTAAACGTTGAAGTACGGAGGCGGGACGCTCTCAGGATCGATCGCTGTACGTTCACTAAAGACACGTTAACGGAGAAATGTTACAGCATTCATTGTTACTTTCTGATTGTCACTGTTAACTCAAGACAACACTTTACCACGTGAGGAAAGTCGAAACAAATCCAACCAAAAAGTGCAAATTATGAAATATTTAAAAATACTTATTATCATGCAAGAATTATTCCAGAGATTTAAGTTGCAAATGTAAAAATATATATTTGCTTTAACCAAAATAAGAGGGATGTTCGTCCTACAGCTTGTTATATTAGATATAATTTAACAAATATTTATATCACTGTATATCAGCGGTTCACTTTGTAAAGTGTTATTTCAAACTAGAATGAATCTACTCACTAATAAGAAGGATGGAAACATCTGTTTGAGCAGCAGCTGGATCCAAAACACAAATAACTGCAAACGTAAACGTAAACAACTGCAAAACTCCAAAAATATTCAATTTACTGAAGAAGAAGAGAAAGAAAAGCTGCAAATCCTCACAACTGAAGCTGGGATGAGTTGAACTCAGTTTCATGTGTGTAAATGTGTCTCTCATAAATGAGATGTTTGCACTGCAAACATTAAACTTTCTATTGATTATTTTACTGACAGATCAGATCATGTGACTGATGCATTTTACATTCTTTGTTTTTTTGTCAGAGTACATGGACTCTTTAGTTGGGATGTGCAATAAGCTTTGCTTTGACTTTACCCTCCTGTGTTTGAAACAAACTCTTCTGATTCTGATTTGATGAAAATTAATTAATATCTGGAGCGAAGTAGAGAATTTAAATGAAAGCTTTCAAAACGTTATTTTATAAGAATCATTTTCCCTCCATTAAAAGAACAAAGATGAAGACCTGAAATGTAAATATATAAACTCAATAGATTTGATGACTTGAATAATATTCATGGTTATTTTTCCTTCTGTGCCGGCAATAATTTAGTCAAAGTGATTTTTAAAATGTAAAAAATCAAATTTTTTGAATGAGCTTCTTATTGTTTTCCTGATGATTTTATTGACGTTACAGAGTCGAGTGTGTTGAAGCTTCTTGTTGACTGTTGATCAGTCTTTTTTAAATCCGTGTCGTCTTCTTGTTGCACAAAGTAACGAGGCACATAACTTCACTACGTCTGCTGGTTCTGATGAACCGGGCAACATTTAGGGCAACGACAGACAGGCAACACCTTCAGCAACTGGCAACAAAGTGACGAAGTGTTGTAAAGATGTCATTTAATGTTCTGAATGTAGTTTACACAAGAATAAAATGCAAATTAGTTTATATGGAAGCAAAGAAAGAACGAAATAATTCAAATGTGAAAAAATAAAAATCTGAATCTGAGTTTAAGTGGTTTGAAGGAAACTTAAAATTTTTGAATTTGTTTCTTTGATGATAGAACTGATAGAACGTAACCTGATGTTGAACGTAGCCTTGTTGTTACATTTTTAATTTATCATCATAAATATTGTTTTTTTAAATCAGAAAATGAAAAACTGAAATTAGGCAACTTTAATAAATATTTGGACACAATTTTCTACCTGAATTTGTGAATAAATCATGTTTTTGCACAACTTGAAATTTCAAAGTTGAAAATTCCACATAAAAACCCTTAAAGTTATAAATGTAAAAATAAAAAATGCTATAAATTCAGTTTTATTAAAATTCCCATAATAAATTGACTAAATTTCACAATATAGATTAAGTTGCTTTTAAGATTTAAAATCTTTTGAACTTTTTTTGCTTCTGTACTAAAAATAAAATCATATTCAGAGTAAAAGAAATGCAAATATTCTACATTTTAAAGATTTAAAAGTATTTTACAATTTGCTCTCAAAAGGAAACTTGTAGTTATTAAAAAAAAGATAAAATCCAGCATCAAGTTTTTCATCTTTAATATTTCTTTTGTGTGTGTTTGTGTATATACTGTACTGTACTATAAGAACTTTTAGTCATTTTTCAATAAACAAACTGAGTGATTTTGATGACGTGAATGTAAATTTAACGGCTTTATTAGAATTAAATGAAGAGTTTATGTAACTTCATGTTTAAAGCAGTGAAGCTAAAAACCTCTCAGTCCGTCCTTTTGTTGACGTTTTTATTTCTTCTTGTTGATTCTTATTTGTTTCGTGTCTGTGGAGCGTGTTGTTGTGTGGAGCGTGTTGTTGTGTGGAGCGTGTTGTTGTGTGGAGCGTGTTGTTGTTGTATGGAGCGTGTTGTTGTTGTGTGGAGCGTGTTGTGTGGAGCGTGTTGTTGTGTGGAGCGTGTTGTTGTATGGAGTGTGTTGTTGTGTGGAGCGTGTTGTTGTGTGGAGCGTGTTGTGTGGAGCGTGTTGTTGTGTGGAGCGTGTTGTTGTGTGGAGCGTGTTGTGTGGAGCGTGTTGTTGTGTGGAGCGTGTTGTTGTTGTGTGGAGCGTGTTGTTGTTGTGTGGAGCGTGTTGTTGTGTGGAGCGTGTTGTTGTGTGGAGCGTGTTGTTGTTGTGTGGAGCGTGTTGTTGTTGTGTGGAGCGTGTTGTGTGGAGCCGTGATGTGGACAAGGGTTTAAATGAATCACCTTCTAGCAGTCTGGGGAAAATACAGCAATATTAAAATAACTTTTCCCTTCTTACATAAACTAATTCAATCTAATTGGAATAATTATGTCACAGTTAATGTTATGTTATATTAAGTTATAGAAGATGTGACAAAATGAGCCGGCGGTTGAGTACATTACTATTTTGTTGCTGATTAATTTTCAACTAATTGTCTGCAGCTCTACAAGTAATAATCAGGTAATTGGTTATATTTTACTATATTATACTACAAATGTAATATTCTGGTCACGTCCTGCCACAGAACGTCTCAGTTATTAACAGTATAGTTAAGATATAAGAGACACCAGCTCCCACTGCTCTTTATTAAGTTATTTTATAAAAGTCACTCAGAGGAAGTCTGGAGAAACTTAAAACTGTATTCTGTTAAACAAAAGTGAACAAACATCGTTTATGTCTGAACTTCAGCAGCTTCGTTCAAGTGAGATGAGCTCACGTTATTTAATGTCACTCCTTTAGACATTAACTACAATTTATAAACCAAAACAACAGAACTACAACGTATTGATTTACTAAAACAAGTCCAGGAAATAGTCTGCACCCCAATGATTTAAAAAACAAACAAAACACTTCATATTGGATGCTGTCCTCATGCACCGCTCCACACGGTGACGTCCAGTTTATGAAATCTGCATTTTTACGGGCCCACGATGAGACACAAGATTGAATGTCAAGTTGTCCTCCATTGTTTTGTTTTGTTTTTGTTTTTTGTTTTGTGTGAAACATGAAATCATTTTAAGGATGTTTTTGCTTCCTGCAGAGCAGCATTGTAGCCGTCCGTGTTAAATATCTCGTACGTACAGAAAATGTTCCTGGATGAAACTGGCATTCATGACTTGTCCTCCCGGACATGTAGGCTGACTGCATAGTCCTCTTGTTGTGGTGTTGTTAGACGATAATAACAGTGTAATAACAGTGTAATAGAGCATCAGCATGACAGCAGATCTCACCAGAAATATGTTAACCTGTTCAGAACTGTGTTCTTTACTCTCTAACTTCACTGGAGTTGTGAGGACGTTTGTCTGCAAACTGAAGTTCTTTTAGGTTTCCTCTGTGTTTAAATAAAACGCTCAAATCCGTGACGAGTCTCCTGTGATTTTTAATATCTGATGTGATGTGAAACATAATGTACAGAACTCTCACACAACAGTTCTGAGTTAATTCAATTTTAGAAATTTGTTCTTCTTATTTATTTCAGAAGCAGACATTGTAATTATTTTGTCAGCTACATATGGAATAGAGTATCAGATATAACAGTATATATAATAATAATTAAGTAGTACATA